GGTCGGTACCACGTATCTTCCACTCTACCACAACTAGACTCGACCTGGCCCGCCTTATTACTTTCTATGAAGCTACGATCCTGACACAGCTGCAGCTGGGCAGGCATTGCAATCGACTGGACCAATCGATCCTTGCAGTTTCCCACCTACTCGATGTAGCTGATTCTGGTCAAGCTGGCAAGCAGCCACCTTCCCTTGATTGAGCGACATGCAATGAACATGGAGCTCACCTAGACCCTCTATATTTCAAGTGAGTTCCCTGCATCAGTATTGCCCCAGAATGGCTCATAGTTCAGTCATCGCTGACCCAGGAACAAGACCATGACACGCAAGAGGTGCTAGGAAACAGCAGGCAGGGCCTTGACAGGGCTAATGCCATGGTAGCCATCCTGTTATCAAGCTTTGCATGCACAGTTGGAAAAGCGGCCTGGTCTAGCTCTCAGCGAGTAGCGCACGCCTATCGTTTTCAACCCATGATCTTCTGTGTCAGCGGGCACCTCCAGCGAATTCTCAAGCGGAAAGCGCCCCTGCCAAATGTTCATCATCCACCTGATCGTCTTGCGAGCTGCTTCCGGAAGTTACTTGCTGCCTGCATCTCCCGCCTTCCGGTTGTGCTTATGTCTGAGCTCCCCTCCCATGGGTAGAGAGACCTTGTGCATCAGCTCGACATGTTTGCCTCCATGTGTACGCGATACGAACGAACGTAGGATGGGGTACCAGCTCCTTTCTCTTCCCTCGAGCAGCATTTTCCCACTCAGCCTCATCAGCGGGGTCACACGGTTACGGCCTTTGGGCTCCTGTTGGAGTTGCTCTTCGGTCAAACCACCACGGCATTCGATGTGGGGTGGGCACAGGGCAAAGGCTGTGGGTGGCGTGGTCAGCTAGCTTATCGGTCGGTTTACCAAGCGGCAGAAAGCACAACCTATAGATGCACTTCCATGACCTCAAATTACAGCGCAAAGGAAACAAGGACGTCCACATATGCAGTAGCTGCTTGAACAGCAGTCTACGCTTCAGTACCCTGGCAAGAGCCTCAGTCGGCAGCCGCTTGCCAGCCCACTCACAATAGGCCTGCTGTATCACTGCACTTCTGCAGTGCCAAAGTTTGCTTCGAATTCCCAACCAAAGTGTCTGGGGCCCCTGGCACTTGCATCAGTCCAGCTGATGTGCACAACAGGATAGTCTTCCCATCTGCCCCTCAGAGAGGAGTCTCGCCTTGTGACATGTCGCGGCGCAGTGAAGCGGACATCACCCCCAAACAGCCCCGAGCCAAAGACCCTTCCGGTTGTCGCCACCAGGCCTTTTCGACGGCGACCTCGCCAGGAAAAGTTCGCAATCCCAGGACGCAGCTCGGTAGTCTTTGAGCTGCAAGCCCAATGCGGCGCGCTCTCGATGTACTGCCCAGATTCTTGGAGTACAGCCTAGGCGCCACACATAGGTCACAGCACCGACGCTGATTCTCAAGACTTCTGAAGTCTTGGCCTTGCTCAGGGTGCTGTTCAGCACAAAGCTCCAACCGTACTTTTCAGCATCCGTCCTGACATGGCATACGCACGGGAAATTCGAGGATGAATGCCGGCTAGAAGACGTTTCCTGAATTTCGTCTCTTTGACAAACTCCCGGAATTGTGAGTTTGTGACTGGCGTCTCATCGATTGCGTACGCCTCTTGCTACAAACTCAGGCTGGAGTGCCACTTCAAATGCTTAAACAGGGGGCCTGCAGCGATACCTGTTTGGTTCCAGGAGCTCCTGAAAGCTCGTCGCCTCCCATGAGGAACGTTCTGGCCTCAGTGTTTGAGGTATGCGCGGCGCAGCGGCAGTGCAGGTGTTTGGCGGGCGTGCCTTGCCTTCCTCGAAGCTACGCTTCCGGACATGAGCCCTTCAGTTTCTGTCTGTCATAACATCGTTGACTCTATCGCGATCGCTTGAGGGTTCTTGTCGGCTCATGTCGTGTGAGTCTCGGCCGCTTCTCGGCATCGCCGCCGACGTGTGCGCTGTTGCCCGATGCTTAGAGCCGCCATGAGCCGCCGCCCACTGCTTTGCATTGCCATTTAGTTTTCGCTGCCCTTCCCTGCCTTCCCACACAGAGCAGAAAGGGTTGGAAGTTTCTCCGGCCGATCTTGCTGAAGAGCTCGGAACTGATAACTGCGTGTTTCCTCCGCAGGTCAGCTTCGCACACCCTTCCTTCATGAAACAAAGAAGTCATCGCCAGGTGCCAGCAGTGCCAGCTTTTCACCATAATGGCTCCCCGTCAATTTGATCTGTTTCGTACCTGCCCATGCATGATGATCGGCCCTCAAACGCTGCGTCTGGGACACCTGAATTCACGTGCCATGAGGAGGAACTTTTGCATCCTGCTGGCAATCCCAACTTTGCCTGATGGCAGAGTCGAGACACCGTGTCGAAAATTAAGACGGGCACGGGCTGACAGAACATGCGACAATGCGAGTCCGAAAACGCGGTCGCTGACTGCGGGAGGCAGGCATCGTGGGGCAAGCCACAGTGTGCCCGAGACCATTCGTCAGAGCGAGGTGACGCGGCAACCGGTTGCCATTGTTGATGACCCCTCTACCGTGCCCACCAAGCGGGCGGGCAAAGCTTGAAATAAAATTGGAAGGGTGCTTGCAACGGAAAGCGCGATCAGATCGGGTCTCAGCCTCGCAAGACAGATACGAAAACTCAACAGGAAAACATCCGTCGACGGAACATCTGGCTGATGACCAAAATCTCAGAACGGCTGATTCGGAAGCCAGAATGGCTGAGCGGAGAGCACGGAATCCTGATTTCGGATATTTGCGGATGTTAGTGTCTCAGGAGCTTGAAGCCTTTGGAGCTTGGGTGAGGCGAGGTTTTGTGGAAAGACTGGTCTGTGGGAGTGGGTTAATTAGCGGAAGCCGGGCAGAGGAAGGTCCGGGTTTCAGAGCTAAGACTGAGCCCAACAGCTCCGTCACTGGCGTCATCGAGGCATGGACTCGGTTCGGGAAGTGGCATCGCACCGCCCTAGCCAGGCTCCGCTCGCCGGTTTCTGCATTTCTCAAAAGACCGGTTGAACTATTTTCTCAACTCTTCGGAGATCATAAACCGCAGAAGTGTGACGAGCTCGGTCAAGAGTAAAGACCGTATATAGCGCATCGGGGAAGCAGCTGGTGTACACTGTTTCTTACAAATGATCGGGCTGCCTCGCATAGTCGCAGTGCAGTGGAATCCCCTCCGAGTGCGACCATGACACGCCTTCACTCGCGGTCCTTTGCTTCTGTTGCAATGGAAAAGACACGCCGTGCAATTTCGAGAGCCAAAGTTGCTGTGCCCAACATCTTGGAAGGTGGATAGGTTTGATACGGTACCCCGTACCCCCAAGCACTGAGTTTTGGCTCCGCTCGGCTGCTCGCTCGATACTTGGAGGACCCAACCAAGTCAGGGAGAAAGGAAAGGAAGTGTCGGAAGAGAAACAAATGCTGGCACATTCTGATCACCAACGATTCAAAATAGTCGGAGCACCAAAGTTTCTGTTGCGATACCTGCTTGCCGGAATCAACCTTGGATGATGGCAGTACTGAGCCCGACCTACAGCACACTCCTGCAAGGCTTTACTGAGTGTTCCGCTGACTTTCAAATCACACTGACTGATGCCAGTGCAAGTGCAGTTGGCATGCAAGACACTGCCTTGGAGTGGAACCCTCCCGTGAAGTGATTGTACGTCAATTCGTAAATCAATCCAAGGTTCAGGAACCCGCACCCCCCTCACGTCACATATCCACACACACACACACAACGTGGAAGGTTTATTTATCATAGCAAAAGTCCGGAAAGTTTTTGGCCGATCCAGCAGCAGAGATAGCAAAGACAATGGCCACAGGCTCTCGTGGTCACCGCTGTAAGACATGCTCTCTTGTTCCTCTTCGTTCGCTACATTCTTCTTTACATCATCTCTAAGCTGACACGAGTCCTGGGCTGATCAAGTCCTCCCCGCACTCCGGACAAATTCTCTAGTTCGATTTTCTGCTAACGTCTCGCCTGAATCGTGCCCGCATGCCTTTGCTCGTACTATATGACCAGGACAAAACTGTCGCTCTTCTTCTATTCCGGTCCGGCCCAGTCCCTATCTCCCACACCAGGTTGGGGAGGTCCGTCCGTCCGGTGACAAGAAGGAAAGTTCAATCACGGTTCATGCTCATGTATTTCAGGCTGCGCAGGGCTTCATGGGATTAAAGTGGCATTCAGTCCGAAGCGATTGCAAGGAGAGCAGAACAGGAAAAGAGCGCACAACTGCACCAGATCTTGCATTCCCGGGCGCAGGGATCTTGCGAAGTGAAGGTCCGCGGCGCTGTTTCTTTGGAGCTTTTTTGCCACCTGCCTGTGGCGCCTCGCAGCCGGCAGGTGCAAGAAGACATCCTCAGTTGCCCAGATGATAACGATCTTGAGATTGAATGCTCTTGTGCAAGCTTAGACCTGTACCCAGACATAGCAGCCTATACCTGCACTTCGTCGTCTTGGAGACGTGGTGGCAACTCAGACACGGATCCCTTCTGAGCCGCCAGCAGGCTTGGCATCTGAAGCTAGTCAACCAGAACCAGAAAAAGGATCATATACTGATTAATTGAGATCCAGTTTTCCTATGTCGACAGTCGACACATGAAAGAGGCACGACTGTCGGTCAAGATAGGTACGCAGCTGTTTTGTGTGCGTCTTGGCAGATTCGGGTGGCCAGGTGGCGGCTATGTGCGGCTCGCAGGAGTGCAATGGAGTGCACCAGTGCCATGAAGCAAATTCCAGTAGCGCATGTCAGCAATGCAATGCAGTTCACTTTGGCGACTCACTCTTTTCTGCGCGGCCTCCGGAAGATTGACGAAGCGTACTGCTGGACACAGCATGTCGGGGTTGGCTTGCGCCTATTTCGCGGCATGCGTCAACCCCTTGAGGCAACGTGCAGCCGTTCGATGCAGCTCGCCAAACTCGATCCGATTGGCGATCGGACGAGTGTCAGTATCTATCGCAGGGCACTATGCGCGAGGACGAACAGCCCGAGCCGTAAAGCCTGCAAGATGGACTCAGATCATGGCTATGCGGGAGTCAAAAGCGAAAGTCTGTCACAGCGGTCACTATGGAGCCAACCGTGAAAGTATCCGAGCCGATGCTTCCCTTCCTGCGTGCACGAACCGCCACAGATGTCCACGAATCCATAAAATCGCCGCACATCCACAGTGCAAGGGTGAAAGGCAACTGTCTCCTCTATGTCAATGGTGATGTCCGTTTTGACGTCTGCTTCCTGCTTTGGCCGGTCTTTCTTCGTCTCCCTGAAGTGCACGGGCTGGCATGCTTCTCGCACCAGACAGGTTCCCACCCCGAATGCCACCGAGCCATGGACTTGCGCTGGACTCCATAGTCTCGAATGAAATCGTAGACATCTCCAGCACTTCTAGCAGCAGATGAAGCTCCTGTCACACAAAGCAAGGAGTAGCAAGGCTTGGAGACTGAAGTCCCAAGAGGCCCAAGAACTCTCTGAGCGACCTAGAAGGACGGACCCGACAGGTGCAACGGAACATGACCAGACCTTCGATGATGCCACCGCATCATGCTTGTTTTTCATGTTGTGGAAGATCATGCCGATTTCAACTGGACCTGCTGCCTAACTTCGAATATTGTTGATAATCGAGGCTCATACATTTTGCAGTCCGACCCGAAGTCCGAGAGCCAGGCTTGCTTTCTGGCGTGCGCTAACAAAGCTCCAAGCTGTAAGCTACTAGTAGGACATGAGAAGTGAGCATGCGATGCTATCCTCACACACACACACACATGAAAAAACAGTTTTCCTGTCCATGCGGTTCAGGTACTGCCTGGGCTACGTACAGTATGCGGACCAGTCTGTCGCACGGTCAGCAACATCTCGAGTTTTCGATCTCGTCGTTTGAGCGAAGAGCTGCATCTCATTGACGCAGATCTCGGAAGTCCGAGTGCCAAGCGTGAGTTAGTGTGTGTGTCTGTGTGTGTGTGTGTGTGTGTTTCGCAGGCTTTTGATGATTTTTGTGGACAGCATGTCCTTTGTGAGCTTGAGTTGCCTGTAACTCAAATCTGCGAAACCCAGCATACCTTGCAACACTAAATTTGAAGGGCAGGTGTCTTCTGCTGCCTGCCTGCTTCTCCCTTCAGGAAAGTACTATCGTGACTTCAGGGTTCTCCATTTCGAGCCTGCTGCCGATGCTCGCAAGAGCTATGCTACAGATACCACGCATACCCCTGACATGGGCAACGCTAAGGCAAATCGGAAGACCGACATCAATCAAACAAGATGCAGGATTACAACAACGCATGAAAGCCTTGACGCGTGTCTGCTGCCTGAACCATCACCTCTGCGCAGGCACACCGACCGACCGACCTGCTTCTCGCAGTAGTTTCTCCGACAGTCTGGCAAGACGTGCCCCTTCTTCCTGCGATGCGAGCGGTAGAGCTGGGTGCACATTCTTCGCAAGACTGTCAACATTATGATGGGAAGCGCGGACCTCGCTGGACCACAATTGTTATCCTCCGGCCTTGTTTTCATGGAGCTTCGACTGGGCGACCAGCAGCAGGTTTTCACCTTCTATTCGCTTGTTCCCAATCTCCTCAGCTCGCGTGTCCGCTCCGTGTATACTACGACTTCACCTCGTTTCCGGCCTTGCCAATGTCAACAGCAAGTTTGGCTTTTGCGCGAGCCTTTACAAGGGGCAGCAAATACATGTTGCAAAGCCGTCGCTTCATCACTGCCATGAACAAAAACTGCAGAAGTTGAAGCATCAAAACACACGCGTCTTCATGAAGTGTCGCGATCAGTCTATGGCATTGCACAGAATTAAATAACAGTTTAATTCCTCTCCGACATGAGCCAAAATCCCACTGCGCCTCAGCTGCGTTTCCGTAGTTCAGGAAAGCAGATGCCAAGCTCTTCAGCGTCTGGGCTTCACCGACACGATCACCAACCTCAGCCAGTGGTCAGCACTGGAGTGGGCTAATGTACCTGTCAGTAGCATTCAGTAGCGTGGGCAACGTAGGTGCGGCACGCTTTGTTGTATTCCAAGGGCTTCTTTGCCAGCCAATCGGGCCTTCCAGTTGATCTGCTGTTCCTTGAGCGGCCGTGAGGACTGAACGCCAGTGCTAGCCATGCTTAGTGCCAATTGTGCATGGCGATGCCCACGCTCCTGCTGATCGCTGCGGGCTGTCGGGAGTTGGGCCACGTGCGCACTCGCCATGACACTGAGAGTGGTCCCCAGCTGTGTCCTGACAGAGTCTTTGTTGGCATTGCTCAGCTTGCAGTATAGAGGTGCCTGAAATTGTTGTCGCGACAGAGGGTGACCGCTTCCTCTGCGATGCGCAGAGCCTCCTCCTTTCATGACCATGAGTCTGAGCTGTGAGCTGGCTTCTTCCAACAATCGTGCCAGACAGTCGCACGAGCCATTGTCCACATGTGCTGCTGCAATCTGGCATAAAGTGGTTGCCTGCACAGGGGTGCTTCGACTTAAGGCACACATCGTGGCACGTGCTCGCAGGCCTCACCACTTTTGTGGCCCACTTCGCGAAAGCATTCTAGAGCTTCTTTGGTGTACTGCCAACCTGGAAGCGCACATGTCGACGCCAGGCCATGGCTGAACGTCCTGAGCGTCCCTGAGCCCTCAACCGTCGATGCTGTCACCACCTTGAGGCTGGACATCTCTAAGACTCTAAGACTCAGTGACTCAGACTCAGAATGCATGATCTTGATGTCCCACCTGCAAAGCAGATTTCAGCCAGCTGCTTCAGCGTGATGCCCTGCACCCGGGAAAAGGGCTTGCTTTCGGAAGTCCGGAATCCTTCCCGCCAATCTTTGGCACGTCTGTCCAATCAAAGCTTTAGATTTCCTTCTGTCGCACACCGGCTGCGATAGGAAGACAAGTGGCCACGGATGGTCAACTAAAGTCAGCTAATTGAGGGTTGCAAGATGCAGGGCTCCAACATGTTTCGCGCAACCCCTTTGACTGCACTCCGGGCGTTGGACTCCGGCTTAGGCTAAATGCGCAGCTCTGTCTCTCAACGCTTCTCTCACGGTGCCCGCATAACATGCCGGCGGTCCGTCCTTGAGTCACTGCTTATCTGTTAGTGGCTTTCGCTGACGCAGAGCCTCTGCCAATACGCTACCACAGAGGTTCAGCATATTGCATGATTTGGACACGACAAAATCACGTTCGGCGCTGCTTTAAGTGCATGGACTTCCTCTCCAATACGGTCATTCGGAAGGCACCGTCATGCTGCTCCTCCCTTCGACTTCATGCTGTCCGTCTGGAACCCCGAGAACCACAGCAAACAACAGGCAGACTACTCCAACCTCAAGCAGCAAAACAGCAGCGCTACCCCTGTACCGTACCATGTGATTGAAAAAGAGGCCCACCGTCCTGCTGGATTTTTTCTTCGGTGTTAATGTTTGACGGCTTGGGCTGCAGGATCTAAGCACTCGATGGTGTCAGTGACAACAACAACAACAGCGAGATTCTCCAGCTAAAAACCAAAACATGTATGTTTGCTACAGCAGGTAATGGCATGCCATTCTAAGTTTGTGTGAGTGTGCGCATGCAGGCAATTAGCAACATCCCTCCTTGTGTGCGTAGTGTCGGCTGAGAGGTAAAACCGGAATGCACCTCTTTGCCTCTGTGGCATGAGCAAGCCCAGCATGCAAAAGAAGTCTCACCAGTTGTAGCTCCAGTCGTGGCGCTTTGGCTGTCTTGCATGCTTCTTCTCGCACCGTAAAGAGAGCACCGATCAGTTCTTCAAGCATTTGCATGCAGAAAAGAATCACCCTCTTCCAGAATCCGGGCTACTTTGGAGCCTGCATCTGCCGATTGTCCGTTTTCTCGTAGAGAGCAACTGCTTTCTGAGCCTGCAGCTGACGGCAGCTGTGGCGATCTCGTGATCGAGATCTGAGCTCTGGACCGCTTCTTGGGCTTCCTGGGCATCTCCCAGAGCCTGCAGACGAGAAGTTGTAAGCTTCAAGCTTGCCTCTCAGCTGGGTCTACTCCTGTGCCAAAGTACCGTAGTTCTGCCTGCTTTGTCTTGGCAACAAGAAGCAGCGATCTGGACTCAGCGTCTGCTCCGTCTTGACACAGTGCCAGCACCTCTCCACAGTTCAGGGTCCCAGGACCAAGAACAAGTGTGTCAGCATGTTCCTGACAGGAAAGAGCTCGAAAGAGCTTCTGCAGACCTCGCCTCGTTTGCAGCACGGAGAGCCTCGTTGCCCTTTTTCGCCACAAGGCATGCTCGGACCAAAACCTCCAGGGCCATTGCCTCTCAGGCTAAGCGGCTAAGCTTCGTGATGCAGGGGAGGCATCAGACCGGCAGAAACGGCCTCGCCACCTTTCTCCCCACACTCTCTGAACAAAGCCGCAGCTTGCCGTGCAACCTCCAGACATCTCCAGACACTTCGTAATACGTGTCAACTCGGCGCACGGCTCGTCGACCCCTGACAGGGAGTGTCCGCCTTACTCGCCTCTTGCTTCTTGTCTCGCGCAAGGCAGACCTGCACCACATCCGCATCAGCACTGCAGCAAAAAGGTGGTCCCGGCGCCTGCGCGCGTGTGGTCAGCGCCGCAGCCTGAATCGACTTGCCCTTCTGCTGCGCCTAAGGCTGCTCGGCAGCGGCTGTGCCAGGAAGCCAGGAGCAGATGATGCAGATGGCAGCTGGGGTCGCAGGCGAGCGAAACCGCAGCTTCGGCTGCTTGGAAGGCATCGTCAAGTCGGAAATGCGCCAAGAACGCCTGGACCCCCGTTCTGGTGCTCTACTCTACGAAGCCGAGGCTTGTCTAAGGGATTCTGTCAGTATCCTTGGCGGCGATGCAGTGAGCCAGTACATCGGAGGAGTCCTTTGCCTGAATCGACACGACAAGACACGGCATGGCATCTGAGCAGTCCTTATAAGGCTCCCACTCCACGTGCAGCTTCCACCCCCTGCTTTGCTGCCTGAAACGCTCATTGCTCACCGTGCAGCTTCGCAAATGCAAACAGCATCAAACTCATGAAACCTACAAGACAGCAGGGTCTTCACCTCTTCAGCCTTGAGGAACTCTCGAGCCAGCAGGTGCGCTCGAGCGATGCCGTTGTGAGCTATCGCCCTTGCCGATGCGTCCCGGGCTTGCTGCAGGGCCTTTCCAAGTGTGGAGGCAATGCGCAACGCTTTTAGCTGGCCGAGGCCACCCAGTCCAGCGCAGAAAGCAGTGCCTTGCTGGCAGTCGCCAAGGCCTTGTCTGCTTCCTGCAAGAGACTGCCTCTAGAGATTTCGAGCGAGCTGCACTGTAGCGAGGTGCCTCGCGGTACAGGCTCTGCCAGAATTCGGATGCCCAGGATGCGCGATTGAGGCCTTCATCCTCAAAGCAATCAGGCACGGACAGCATGGCACAGCCCACCCCCCATGGGCAAGTTGAGGTAAGATGCAAAGTCCAGGACCGACATGGCGCTTCCACCTCTCGGAGGGGGCGTTCCTCCCCTTGCTGGGACTCGAGCCGGGGTGCCATTCGCGGGGCGGAACTGCATGAGGCGCTCCGCGACTGCTGACGAAAAAGCTTGTAAGCTATTGGCGTTCACCATCGCTGGGCACCAGATCAGGCTCATTTTGTCCGCATGCGCATTTGGCCGCGGAACATCTGATTTGTCAGACACAACTCAGAAGGGCTAACCTCGGTATTTGCAATCAATGCTAATTTGCTGTATGAGTCTGGACATCAGTCTCCGGCCTTGAATTGTCGTCTTCGCTTGCCGAGCAGTGTCCTCTCCCATCTGTGTCTCTCTCTGGTCTCTGTCTTGCTGGCTTGGCTGGCGCCGTTTCCTCCGCGGGCTCGGTCCCAAAAGCCCAAGAAGGCGCAGGCCCGGCCACGATCAGATGCCAGTGACGAAGCGGCAGGAAAGAGACCGCGAACGCTCCCCTATGAAGTCACACTGCGCCCACCAGCGCCCGACGAGAACCGACGCCATCAAGCAAGTGACCAGATCACTGCGTGCACACACACACACACACACACACACGCAGCAGCCCTTGGCAAAGCACGAAAGCAGGTGCAAGAGATCAAGAAAGCTCAGACGACACATCGGCCCGCTTGGCAAAAGTTCAAACAACGCTCGAACATGGCTTTGCCATGCACGAGGAACAGATGAAATCGCTGGCAAAGGCGGAGCAAGAGGCACAAGATAAAGCAAGCGTGGCGCACAAAGCAGTTCGGAAACTCAGCTCCAATCCGGGGGACGAGGCGCATATTTCGAGGTCGGTGACTCGGAAGTGGAGCAACAACGTTACAAGCAGAAAAGAAGTTGCGAAAGTACGTGCAATATGATGGCTCGCGCAAGACCTGGGCCAGTCGCTGGCCACAATCTTCGTCGATGCTAGCGCCGCCTTTTACGCGGTCTTTCGTCCTTTACTGTTGGCACTTGGGTGCGGCTATGATGCCGATAAGCTTGCACATGCGATGAGCTTCTTGAAGACCCCGCCCGTTTCTGCTGAATGTTTGCGTAATATGGTTGGCAACGGAAATATCGGGGGCGGCTGAAAAACCCTTGCAGCACACGATGATGTCTTGGCCAGAGGCTGTTAATTAAGCCAAGGAAGTTGGCTGTTGTTGACGGACCTGGCGACTTTGTGCGACGACAGTTGGCGGGCATACTGCATACTTGTGAGGCATTTCCGGCCGCTTGAGCTCGAACAGGTCATTGCATTGGACAGCGCTGAAGTTGAGCGCATTCGCAAACGTCGCAAGCGTGGCGTGCCGCTTGACGATGGCCTCGCGTATCCACCGGTCGTCGTCAGAAGGATTTGATGCCGCATGTAAGCGTCATGTGGCCCGACCATGTGTCTTCCGACCGTCCCCGCTTCTTTCCTCGACTCAGGGTCTGCACGTGTGTAGCCTTAGCTTTGTAAACGGGTACTTACCAAACGCAGATTCAATTTTTCAGCCACTCGAGAGGGAAGCAGCACGACCGCACAACCCAGCAGCAATGCAGATCGTGCGCTCGGGGGTTCGAAGCGGGCTGCTTGGGAAGATTGACCGATTTCCGGAAGGAAATAGAAAGACGATAGCACTGGGCTGGACCTCGTTCGGATTCCCGGTACACATGGTAGAAAGCCATTTCAGATCACTGCGACCATAAGTACCAACACCACTATCTCAAAAACCGAAAACACTAAATACACATTCAAAACAAGCTAAAACTAAATAAACAAACAAGAGAAAACCACAGCTTTCTGCAAATCTTCATGAAACTATGCATTCCAGGGGATCCGGACCAGGACTTTCTCACTATTTGTTTTTGCCACTTTTTTTTTGGTATCGGTGTTGTGTGTATGTGTGCTTCCGTTGGCCGTCTTTGTTTGTCGCCTTCTTGTTTTGGGTTTCTGGCTTTTGCTGTTGTTTTGGGATGTTTGAACTCGGTACTGCTCTCTTACTCATGTTACATTGGCTTTGTTTTCTCGAGAAAAGCGGAAGTGCAGCGGACAGGTCATAGCCTTGAGCTGTGTATGAGTAGGTTCGCAGTAGTAGTAGTAGTAGTAGTAGTAGTAGTAGTAGTAGCAGTAGTACTAGTAGTAGTAGTAGGAGTAGTAGTAGAAGTAGTAGTAGTAGTAGTAGTAGTAGTAGTAGTAGTAGTAGTAG